AGAGTTGTTTGTAATATTCTCTGATGATGGTATGAATTTCTGTGGAATCTGTGGTGATTTCCCCTTTATCATTTTTTATAGCATCGATTTGGTTGTTCTCTCTTTTATTTTTAATCAATCTGGCTAGTGGTCTGTCTATTTTGTTGATCTTTTCAAAAAACCACCTCTTGGATTTATTGATTTTTTGGAGGGTTTTTCATGTCTCAATCTCCTTCAGTTCAGCTCTGATCTTAGTTATTTCTTGTCTTCTGCTGGGTTTTGAGTTTTTTTGATCTTGCTCCTCTAGCTCTTTCAATTTTGACGATAGGGTGTCAATTTTGGATCTCTCCATTCTCCTCATATGGGCACTTATTGCTATATACTTTCCTCTAGAGACTGCTTTAAATGTGTCCCAGAGATTCTGGCATGTTGTGTCTTCGTTCTCATTGGTTTCGAAGAACTTCTTTATTTCTGCCTTCATTTCGTTGTTTATCCAGTCAACATTCAGGAGCCAGTTGTTCAGTTTCCATGAAGCTGTGCGGTTCTGGGTCGGTTTCTGAATTCTGAGTTCTAACTTGATTGCACTATGGTCTGAGAGGCTGTTTGTTATGATTTCAGTTGTTTTGCATTTGCTGAGCAGTGCTTTACTTCCAATTATGTGGTCAATTTTAGAGTAGGTATGATGTGGTGCTGAGAAGAATGTATATTCTGTGGATTTGGGGTGGAGAGTGCTGTAAATGTCTATCAGGTTTGCTTGCTCCAGGTCTGAGTTCAAGCCCTGGATATCCTTGTTGATTTTCTGTCTGGTTGATCTGTCTAATATTGACAGTGGAGTGTTAAAGTCTCCCACTATTATTGTGTGGGAGTCTAAGTCTCTTTGTAAGTCATTAAGAACTTGCCTTATGTATCTGGGTGCTCCTGTATTGGGTCCATATATGTTTAGGATCGTTAGCTCTTCTTGTTGTATCGATCCTTTTACCATTATGTAATGGCCTTCTTTGTCTCTTTTGATCTTTGTTGCTTTAAAGTCTATTTTATCAGAGATGAAGATTGCAACTCCTGCTTTCTTTTGCTCTCCATTAGCTTGGTAAATCTTCCTCCATTCCTTTATTTTGAGCCTTTGTGTATCCTTGCATGTGAGATGGGTTTCCTGGATACAGCACACTGCTGGGTTTTGGCTTTTTATCCAATTTGCCAGTCTGTGTCTTTTGATTGGTGCATTTAGTCCATTTACATTTAGGGTTAATATTGTTATGTATGAGTTTGACACTGCCATTTTGATGCTAGCTGGCTGTTTTGCCTGTTAGTTGTTGTAGAGTCTTCATTATGTTGATGCTCTTTAGCGTTTAGTGTGATTTTGGAATGGCTGGTACTGGTTGTTCCTTTCTATGTGTAGTGCCTCTTTCAGGAGCTCTTGTATAGCAGGGCTGGTGGTGACAAAATCTCTGAGTGCTTGCTTGTTTGCAAAGGATTTTATTTTTCCTTCACTTCTGAAGCTCAGTTTGGCTGGATATGAAATTCTGGGTTGAAAGTTCTTTGCTTTAAGGATGTTGAATATTGGCCCCCACTCTCTTCTGGCTTGTAGACTTTCTGCCAAGAGATCTGCTGTGAGTCTGATGGGCTTCCCTTTGTGGGTGACCCGACCTTTCTCTCTGGCTGCCCTTAGTATTTTCTCCTTTATTTCAACCTTGTTGAATCTGACGATTATGTGCCTTGGGGTTGCTCTTCTTGCAGAATATCTCTGTGGTGTTCTCTGTATTTCCTGCAATAGAGTGTTGGCCTGTCTTGCCAGGTGGGGGAAATTTTCCTGGATAATGCCCTGAAGAGTATTTTCCAGCTTGGATTCATTCTCTTCATCACATTCTGGTACGCCTATGAAACGTAGGTTAGGTTTCTTCACATCGTCCCACATTTCTTGGAGACTTTGTTCATTCCTTTTTGCACTTTTTTCTCTGATCTTGGTTTCTCGTTTTATTTCATTGAGTTGATCCTCGACTTCTGATATTCTTTCTTCTGCTTGGTCAATTCGGCTATTGAAACTTGTGCATGTTTCGCGAAGTTCACGTATTGTGTTTTTCATCTCCTTTAATTCATTCATATTCCTCTCTAAGGTATCCATTCTTGTTATCATTTCCTCAAATCTTTTTTCAAATCTTTTTCAAGGTTCTTAGTTTCTTTACGTTGATTTAAAACATGTTCTCTTAGCTCACAAAAGTTTCTCATTATCCACCTTCTGAAGTCTCATTCCGTCATTTCGTCACAGTCATTCTCCGTCCAGCTTTGTTCCCTTGCTGGTGAGGAGTTTTGGTCCTTTCTAGGTGGCGAGGTGTTCTGGTTTCGGGTGTTTTCCTCCTTTTTGCGCTGGTTTCTTCCCATCTTTGTGGATTTATCCACCTGTCGTCTGTGTAGTTACTGACTTTTTGATTGGATCTCTGAGTGGACGCCCAGATTGTTTATGATGGAGTATTTCTATTACTTGGTTTTCCTTCTACCAGTCTAGCCCCTTCGCTGTACGACCGCTGAGGTCCACTCCAGGCCCTGCTTGTCTGGGGTGCACCTGTAGCGGCTGCGGAACAGCGAGGGATGCTACCAGTTTCTTTTTCTGCTATCTTTGTCCCAGGATGATGTCTGCCGAATGTCAGTCTTATGGATATAGAGGGGTCAGGGAGTTGCTTGAGGAGACAGTCTGTAGGAGCTCAATTGCTGAGCTGTGAGCTCTGTTGTTCATTCAGGGCTGCTAGGCTGCTATGTTTAGTTCTGCTGCAACCTAACTCGTAAGAAAACCCCCTTTTTTTTTTTCCTCAGATGCTCTGTCGGGGGGGGGTTGGGGCTTTCCTTGTGAGTGTCCACCTCACTGTCCTGCCCAGCTAGGAGGCAGTCTAGTCACTTTTTGCCTGCCGCGGCTCCGCCCTGCCGGTGTGAAGTTCGCCCTTTTCCTGCTGGCTCGGCCCTTCTGCTGTGGTCTCCGCCCTGTTGCCTCGGGCTACGCCCTGCGGCGGAGTCTCTCTGTTGTAGCGGGTTGCCTCGGCAACGGCAGGCTGCCTCAGCAATGGGCGTGTACCTCAGTAGGGGCTGATTGCCTCGGTAATGGCTGACGCCCCTCCCCCGCGGAGCTGCACTTTAAAAAAAAAACCTATTCACCGGGAGCGTTTGGAATCGCCGTTTTGTTTGTCGCACTGCGCTCCCCCAAACGCTGAGTCCCTGGGATTTCCTGGGCTGGGTCACAGTTCAAGACCCGTTCAGTCTCAAGTTCAGCCCTCTCGGGTGTTAGTTTGCCGGTTCAACAGGGCACCCGTAACAGTGCGCTTTTGTATGGAGCTCTGTGGAGCGCCTCTGCGCTCCGGCTCGGGTCAGAGCCGCACCGGCTGCCGGCTACGCCAGCGGAGACCTCTGCCTGGCGTCCCGCCTCTCTTTTATACCTGGGAATTTCCCCGTTCTGTGGGCAACTAAGATCCGTCTGGAAATGCTTCCCCGACTCACCCTCTCCGTGCGTCCAGTGAGAGCTTGAATCCTGGGTTGTTCTCACAGCGCCATCTTGAGTCCTCCCATCGAGTTTTACTTCTTTTCTATCTGGAATGTTTCTTTTTTCTGCAACTGCTTTGGCTAAAACCTTCAATGCATTGTTCAATAGAAGAGGCAAGAGCAGACATCCTTGTCTTCTTTCTGATCATAGGGGCAAAGCAGCTAGTCTTTGACCATTATATTATATTTTTCATTATGTTACTCATAGATGCCCTTAAGATCCATTAAATGTTTAGTAGCTACTAAGCCCCCTAGTTTAATTGTCCTGAGAGGATTTTTGAATCCCTTTTAGTCTTAGGTTTTTTGTTTTTTTTTTGTCCTGAATAATCCTAATCTTTCCCTACCATTCAGCCGTATTAAGAAGGAAATGAGCTAGTAAGTAGGTCTGTGACAGCCTTCCTCACATAATTAGAAACCTGTGTCAGTACAGTCTGTATGAAACAACATAAGAATGACTATGCCTACATGAGACTTGCAATACAGAATTAATTAACATGGTCCTTGGTTTATACCAGCCCATAACATAAGGGGCAAGTGCCAGAAAATACTGCTATACATCTATTTTGTATAACTCTAGTATAATTGGTAAAAATAATTTGACCAATTTTATTGAAACATTTGATAATACTAATCTTGATGAGTTGGGATCTTGATTTAAAACCACCACAAGGTATTCTCTTGATGAAAGATGATTGGTTGGAGAAAGAACTACACTAAGTAATTTTACATTGAATCAATATATTGGTACATTTCATAAAGTTTAAATTTCTTTTTTTTTGAGACAGAGTCTTGCTCTGTTGCCCAGGCTGGAGTGCAGTGGCGTGATCTTGGCTCACTGCAACTCTGCCTCCTGGGTTCAAGCGATTCTCTTGCCTCAGCCCCCTGAGTAGCTGGGATTACAGGTGCGTGCCACCATGCCTGGCAGCTAATTTTTGTATTTTTAGTGATTTAGCCCAGGCTGGGCTCGAACTTCTGACATCGTGATCTTCCCACCTTGGCCTCCCAAAGTGCTGGGATTACAGGTGTGAGCCACTGCGCCCAGCCCATAAAGTTCAGTTTCTAACTGAGAGAGGAAGTAAAGGAGTCATCAACCTTGTACATGATTAAGAACAGGTTTGAACTGGAATGTTTGATAAACTAGGTTTCTTTAACATTACACCTACACTTAATTGGATGGCTAAAAATGATTAGAAAAGAATGATGATGAGTAATTTGGTTAAGAAAGCTTGGTCCAAGGTAGGGACTGTACGCGTCAGAATTAATCTCAGCTAGGCTACTGTACCCCTATGGTAATCTCTTAAGAATGCTGGGATCCATGGTGCTGATATTTAGCCAAACCTGAATGAAGTTAAGTAGTGATGAATTCCAGTCCTGGGCTACAGACTAAGATAAACCAGAGGGCAACTTGCGCTGGCTTGCCAGCATTGTTTAATAGAAAATGTAAAGATTGATTTTACATTTTGCACCTAGTTTTTGTCATGTTCCCTTGGTTTCTGCAGTTGAGCCTGATTTTGCCTACCTGACCAGAGAGACATAAAAGACCTCTCCTTGAACAAGAATTGGGTTCCCCTGGGAGCTATGTCTAGAAGTTCTGGACCCCTCTAATGTTTCCCTGTGCTTGCTTTCTTCTTGTATACTGTAACCTCTACCTTTATTAATGCCTATTAGCCACAAGAATCCCAATTATATGACTATTATATATACCATTTTATTTTGGAAAAAAATCTGAGTTATAGCTTTTATTTATTTTCAGAGATGGCCATTAGGACATGTATTTAGCCAACAATGTTTGATCAGCTTATACATCACAGAGTTGTGTTACAAATTTACCTTCAAGTTCACAATACATACAAGAAATTAGCAAATTGTTAGTAGAGATTTGGCTGTTGTGATTGGCTTCCAACATTGTAACTGATTTTATTCCTGATTTTGACAATGTGGAATGAGATGTATTAACTTACAAACACTGTGTTGCTCAAGTGAGACTAAAAGCACAATCCATGCTACCTGCACCATAGCCCACTTTCAGCATAAAGAAACTCAAATGTATTCTTCAAGTAGTACATATCCTACATTGGAAGAATGTTCTAAGATTGTATGGGTAACTGTTGCTCCTGTGAAATATGACAGTCATCAGATTCCTTCTATTTTAAGTGTAATAGGAAATGGCACCAATAGTGTGCCATAATACCTATTTTGGGGGACAAAAAAACCATGCTCATTTCACCACTTTGTTCTTCTTTATTTCATGCAATTTTAGGTAGACGTGTATACTAAAATCCAACACTATCCCCAAGGAAGACTGTCAAGAATTACCAAAAAAGTAGCATATTAATCTCTTTTCTTGGGAATATTGAATATATTTCTTGTTACTTACTTGTATCTAAGTTCTGACTGATTTTTGTAGGGGAAACAAGGCAAGCACATTTTATATGGCTGCAGTGAGCTTTTTAATGCTACACAGTTCATTAAACAGGTAAAGTACACCTTTGTTGTTTGTTTCTGTTAACATACCCCACGTTGCTATTGGTATTGTTCAAAAGAGGGAAAGAAAACCACTTACCTGAACCAGCTGAAACCAAAAGCCATACAGCTATACCAAGATAGGCATTGCCGTGGACAACTAAGAAGAAAACCTTGATAATATTGTTTCCAATAGGAGTTTACACATCCTTCCAGAGCTGAAAGCCTTTTCTGTGGCTTTTAATGATCCTTTAGAAATAGAAAAATATATGAGAACTGTCAGTAGTCTGTCTCTCATGACATTTCTCTTTACATTTTCACAAAGTTAATACTGATTTTTTTTTCATTCCCAGGGTTTTTGTTTTCCATCAGTTAACATTACCTAATAATGTTTACATTTCTTTGCTATGATGATGTTTATTGCAATTCTATTTTCTTTTCTTTTTCTTGGTAGAGACGGTCTCTCGCTATGTTGCCCAGGTTGGTCTTGAACTCCTGGCCTCAAGTGATCTTCCCGCCTCAGCCTCCCAAGTAGCTAGGATTACAGGCATGAGCCACTGTGCCCAGCCTTCAGTTTTTAAATATCTACAAATGTTATTTGAGTTAGTGATAAACATTAGGAAGTGTAATTTCTTAAATGGTTTACAAGTATGTTTGAATGCTTCTTTTGTGATCTTTTTTTAAAGTTTTATGTATGATTTTGTGTTTTATTTTGTTGTAGTTGTCACAACTTGGACAAAAGTAACACAGAAGAACCTTACTATGATAATCTATTTGGAATGTGGATAAATGTAAAAAGAAAAGTTAGGTTTTCTTGTCTGTAACAGTGTCCTAACAGTGAAATTGAGAGTTATTTGCTAATTTTTAAGGAAATTCTATACTTAATGTAATATGTATTGTTTAAAAGAATAAAACATTTCAGAAATAAAATTTCAACATCGTTCATTTTCTCTCCTGTTTCATAAATGAGAAAGTACTTTGGAAGTAAGGAAAGCTCCATCTGACTATCATATTAAAATACTAATAATAACTAATAGGTTATGATTGAAGTTGGTGACATTTTAAGATTATCATATACAGATTTTATTTGATTGGTTCATGAGTCCCCTACTTGTATGCATTTTAATTGTACAACTACTTTCTCATAGTTTTTTAGGTATCCATGTTGCCTCTAGATTTTAGATGGAGATTTTAAGCCACTTTAATGTCTCTTCTCCTCCTGGCACACATATGTACATTTTATCACATGAAGTCCCTCCTTCACGTAATGGTGATCAAGGCAACACCAACATGATTTGGAATGGACAAATACAAAAACGTTCATTGCATGAAGTTCTAAATAATATTGATTCCAAGCTGCTTTGGTGTGCAATACTGACAAGTATAGATCAATCATACTGTTCAGCATGTCCATAAGATAAAAAGCAAGTCAACTGCTTGAAAGGGAAGGAAAAAAAAATGCTTCCTATTATAAAGGCCAGGGAGCTTTCCCTCCTAATGAATCTTATTATCAACAGGAATCTGTAATGTTACAGACAATATGCTGACAATACATACAAGATTTACAGGTCAAGAAAAATAATCCTAGATGTATGATAAAGGTCTATTAATGTGACTTATTCCTGAGACAAAATTTGAAGTATGTGGAGGAATAGAAGTACTGGGTATACATCAAGCAGTTCTTATAAGTAACATAAATAACATTTATCCTGTGCAGCCAGCTAAAGTCATATCCCTAAAAAAGGAGCCTAGAAAGAACACAATCCCAAAACAGTAAGCCTCTCTACCTCACTGGAGTATGAGCTGAATGAAGGAATCTCTAGTCACGGTCCAGATTGTATTTTTTTAACTTCAGACACAAATAAGTAATCATGGTACTAAAGTTTGATAGCACCAATAATTACAGCCTGGAAAAAATGTTATAGCAAATATAATCAAATACTTGGCTGTTTAAAAAAAATAGGCACTGTGGAAATGTGTTCAGGACAAACACAAAATGGCAGAGAATAGCTCACACTGAATATGATACCATCATTTCCTCTTCTAGTGCCAGCAATGTGCATCACATATTTACTTTCAGTGTACATCATGCTTGCAAAACTTCTGCACTGCTCCTGACAGTGTACTAATAGTATTTGAAATGTAATTTCAGACTTTTCCTGCACATTAATTTGTTTAAATGTTACACTGAGTCTTTGAGACATAACTAAATTTTCCATACATGAGCATGTCAAAAATACCTCTTTTCAAGAAATACATTATGACATAGGGCTAGAGAGGAAAAAGAAAAAAAAGAAGTTTAAGTATAAAAAGTCAAGATCCTTTTTATGAAGAAAACATTGGGTCAGGCGGCATGGCTCACGCCTGTAATCCCAGCACTTTGGGAGGCCAAGGCGGGTGGATTGTCTTAGGTCAGGAGTTCAAGACTAGCCTGGCCAACATGATGAAACCCTGTCTCTACTAAAAATACAAAAATTAGCTGGGCGTGGTGGCGGCGCCTGCAGTCCCAACTACTCAGGAGACTGGGACAGGAGAATGGCTTGAACCTGGGAAGGTGGAGGTGAAGGTTGCAGTGAGCCAAGATCACGCCACTGCACTCCAGCCTGGGCCACAAGAGCGAAACTCTGTCTCAAAAAAAAAAAGGAAAAAAAGAAAACTAACTGGAGAAAGATTCTGTGAGTGTACAAGTATAAAAGATGTTAGAAAATACCCAAGGATAGAAAAATATGAAAGCGTATTTGAAAAAACCTAGAAGTTTAAAATACCTAAAATTTAGCTCGGTGGATAGGTTTAGCAACAGATGAAATGTGACTAAGAAGAAAATCTGAACCAGAAGATGGAGCAAAAGAAACTACCCAGAATGTAACACAAAAAGATAATGGGAGCAAAGGGAGATCAAAATAGATGAAGAATGGGAAGATCAACCAGACTGGGCAATAAAGGGAGCCCCTCACCCCGCCTCCTACAATAGTAGTATGTGCCTGTGGTCCCACCACTCCAGCCTGGGAAACAGCAAGACCTTGTCTAAAGAATGGGAAGGTCTAAGAGTCATCTGGAGTTCTCAAAGGAGCAAAGAGGTAAAAGGTGGCAGTGATAATACTTGAGGAGATGATACCTAATAATTTTTCAAAATAGACCTCTTTACACATTAACTCCTAGCAGGATAAAAAATTCACCCTTGATATCATGCAACTGCAGAATACCAAAAACAACTCTTATAAAAACAGTTCAAGAAAAATAGGATTCACTTCTAAGGAGGGAAGAGGAATGGAAGTGGGGGGAGGAGGAGAGAGCTGACTTCTCAGGTGCAGCTGTGAGACAAGATTGTGGAATGGCATCTTTGAAACTGATGAAAGTCAACTGCCAGCTTATATTAACAAGCTTATGTTAATGTCTAGCAAAATACTCTTAGGAAAGAGGACAAAGTACACACAGGAAAGAAAAAAGAGTTTGCCACCAGCAGAATCTCACCGAAGTCATTTCTAAAGTGGGAGAAAAGTTATTCCAGTTGTGAAAAGGAATGAAAATAAAACTTACATAAAACTAAAAGAACGTTATTTTGAAACAATAACTTACAGCTTTAACAAAAGAATGTAAATACATTGCCACACAAACTGGAAGAATTATTAACAATCCGAAAGTGTGGGGTCTCCCAAATCCCAATTTTTCTTTGCCCTGACACAGGACACACAAAATGCCTTGACCACATGTGACCTGGCTAGCTTTATGTTTTCCCCTACAAGCTTGGATATTCCCAGGCACTGATAAGTTTGTTTATATTGTTGCCCAAAACACTGCAAGATAAAATGTAGAAACTAGCCTTCACTGTCAGCTGTATTCCTTAAACCCCACGCAAACTCCGTATCGCAATCCCCTTGTTGCAGACATAGTAGAACATCTTTTTTTCTTACTCCATCACAAGCACCAGTGTAGCATCCTAGAAGTTTCCTAATAAATGCTTTGGACTGATTTTGGAATCCCAACCAGCCCATCTCAGAACAGTTGCGGGTAGTACTTGCAAGAACTTATCTGCCACTACTTTTGGGGGATAACCAACCACAGGTTTGGCCAGACAGTGTCATAGGTCCCTGATGGGATAAAATGTGGCAGTGAAAACACTTGAGATGATACCTAATAATTTTTCAAAACAGATAAACCCATTCTGCCATCTGTTAAGTACTCATTAACTTTATGTGTTTGTACATATGTACGTTTATATGTATGTATGAGACAGGGCTTGCTCTGTCATCCAGGCTGGAGTACAGTGGCATCACAGTTCACCATAGCCTTAACCTCAGGCTCAGGTGATCATCCCACGTCAGCCTCCTGAGTAGCTGATACACAGGCATGCAACACCATGCCATACTAATTTTTGTCTTTTTTACAGAGATGAGGTTTCTCCATGTTGCCCACTCTGGAAATATTAAAATTTCACACATAAG